GGCGGGTGCAGGGTAGTGGGGTGCGGGCAGACCAGCCTTGGTTGGGTCTGTCCAGGCGCAGCGCGCGTTCTCCACGCAGAAATTCCTAGACAGAATGCTGCGGGTAGGGTCGGTCCTGGGCAAGCCAGGGAGGGCGGAACGAGGCAGGGCTGGATCAGGCTGGCTGTCATGAGGCAGGCCGGTGCAGGGGGCAGATTGGAGGGGGCAAACGCCTGTCTAGTCCCGTGGATGAGGAGGAGAGCAGCGGACAAGGCAGAGAGAGCACTGGCAGGCAGACGATACATTCCTAGACAGAGCGGGGAGGTGAGCGTGCCAAAGTAGGGCAAGCCCTGTAGCATACAGGGGGAAGTAAATGCTTCTGTAGAGCAAGGGGGAGGAGGATTCTTTGGCTTGCAGGAGGGCAACTGTAAGGGAAAGCAGGCTCGATTCTTGAATAGGGTTAGGCAGAGGGTAGAAGGGGTAGCAGATTGGAGAGGGGGGCAAATTGTAGAAGAGGTAGCAAATTGTAGAGGGGGGGCCGCGTTTGTGGAGAGATCAGGAGGCATCATCAGCACCTGGTACCTTTTGTTTCTACCTGAGCTGGGTGGTGGTGGTGGAATGCATCCTTTTGCATTCAAACTTGGGTTAGCCTGCTGAGCTGGTGGTGCCTCAAAACCCCGATTGAGCCACGCTGCTGCTAGAGACTCTCCCATCTTCTATGCCTTCCCACGCTGTATTGCTGGAAGGAGCTGTAAGTGGTGGAACTACTCCTCCCTGGGTTGCTGTTGCCTCTTTCTTTGCATATGTAGGAGGCAGTATTGAAAAATTCACCATCTGTAGTGCTCTAATACGAAATGAAGATCTGCATGTCCCCCCCCTTGAACGCAAGGATAATTAAGATTATTATTTCAGCTGTGTTAAACTTCTTGTTCTGTAACGGAGAGACACCAACAACTGAATTTAAATACTAGTTTGCTATATTGGTGCTGCCAGAGAAGGGAAATGAATCATTTAAAAACAGTTGAAAGCAAGAATAGTAAACCAGTGCCTTGGTTCAAAGAAACAAATAGGCTAGCGCTTATTATCTGGGAAGAAGCTAGGCTTGCAGATCCATCTCTTCTGAAACCTAAATAAATGTTTTGCAAATACCATCTTAAAAGCATTGTTATTTGAGATAATTATTCACTGGTAGCAGCTGTTGAATACTTATGGCTTGACAGAGCATTTGTGCTTGTGTTGACAGAGCAGTTCTGAAAACCCCTTTCTAATGTCTTTTAGGTAAATATGCAGCCTAAGCAGGAGATGGACTGCAGATGTAGCAGCTTGATAGGTTTATAGGGCATCTTGTAGTGAACAATATTCAATTTAAGTTAGTAGTTTAAATCATTGTAATTATAAAAAATAAAGTTTGGGACATTTGTGTTCCCACCATCCCCTTTTCTTCCAAGGTGAGCTTGTTAAGGAACAAGGGCTAAGGTGTGATTTAAATGTGATGTGGCTGAGGCCCAAGACTTTGCATGGGCTCAGGATCTTGTTTAAACTGTTAATGTTTCTATTTCATTTATACCCCCCTTTCTCTCCAGTGAGGACCCAAAGTAACTTACAACATTCTCCCCTTCTCCATTTTATTCTCACAACAGCCCTGTGTGGTAGGTTAGACTGAGGGTGTGTGGCTAGGGTTGCTAACCTCCAGGTGGCTCCTGGAGATCTCCTGCTACAACAGTTGATCTCCAGATGACCAAGATCACTTCTCCTGGATAAAATGGCTCTTTGTGAGGGTGGACTCTGTGGCATTATACCCTCCACTTCCCAAACTTCATCCTCCCCAGGTTCTTCTTCCAAAATATCCAGGTATTTCCCAGCCCGAAGCTGGGAACCCTATGTGTGACTGGCTCAGGCTAACCCAGTAAGCTTCCTTAGCAGTGTGGGCATTCAGACTTGGAAATCCCAGATTGTAGTCTGATACAGGGTCGTAGCCAGTGGTGGGGCACATGGGGCGGTGCCCACTTTCAATTCTGCAGTGCCCCCACTCCAGTAGTGGTGGATGCACCTTCCAGGCACTCAGATGCATGTCTGAAGGTGTGTTCCCAGCTCCTCCAGCCACTGCGCACCTGAGCACCTACTGCTTTCTTTGCCCACCCACCCAGGTCCTTTTTCGAGGGGGTGCCAATTGGAGGATGGCTGATTTCCTGGCCAAAGTCAGCAAAGTCAGGCCGGCCATGGCTGGCAGGGGTGGGCAAACTGAAGATGCCGCCACCGCCTTCTCCCATTTTCCCCCAGGTGACGGCTGTGGAGGGCGGAGTGAAGCACCTGCTGGGGTCTACGGGAAGCACTGGCTGGTGCTGGTGACTGACATGTTTTTCCCCCTTCCCTAACTTCCGCCTTCTGAACACTAATTATGGATTGGTGCTTTGCTTTTAAATACCTTGAATGTTAATAGCTTTGAAGGGGCAGGGGCAGGTGGGTTAAGGGTTGGGTCAGGCCTTGGAGAATGTTAAACAGCTGGGGGAGGGCAGGTGTGATCTCTCCCCACTTGATCTCTTTTAGCATTCATTTTCCCCAGGGCTCACCAAGGGGTGCCACACCGGGGAGGGGGCAGCCAGGCACAGCTCACCAGCAGTCTTGTCCACCCTGCAGCAGCCTGAGTGCTCCTCTGAAGTCAGCCCTCTTCAACATTTAATTTAATTAGCACCCTGATGCCCTGACTCCCCCCCTCCCCCAAAAAATTCCTGGCTATGGGGCTGGTTTGACACCTTAAGCAGTACATGATGCTGGCTGTCAGCCTATGCTGTAGCTATGCAAAGCAGCTATATGTGCTTAGTGGGTACACTAGGAATCCATAGGTTGTGTGGATGGGGTGTCGATGGCATGCTAGTTAAGTATTGCATCACAAGTTGCAATGAGACCCTGATCCCATGCAAAGCACACATAGTACCTCTCTTACATCACCAGCCCTCATGTTAAAATCGGGCCTTGTTTAATTGTGGAGCCACCATGGGAGGGCTAACTTGGCAGAAGGCAACAAAAGAACAACCTTCTAGATAGATGATGGTGGGGCTGTGAGTGAGTCTCACTCAGCTTTGTAAATGTTGTTGTATAAACTTCCTTTCTGCTAATATACATTAATGACATGCATAGGTAAGCCCCTTGAGTGGAGCATTTCTACTCCTGTAAAGGGTGCTTCCTAAGGGACAAAAAAACAGAATGTGAGTGGCATGGAAGACCGTGAATGAAAAAGAAACAACATGTTGCAGTGCAGGGAGGAGATATGTTTAGTAATATGCACCTGGAAATTTCAGCTAAAAATGAAGTACCATTAATATCTGATAGTTCAAAGCACAGGGAAACCAAATGGCGAAGGAATCCAATTAGCAGTGTGAAAATGTCCCCTCGGTGAGTTGTGCCTCTGCCCTACCCTCTTTTCTTACACTTTCCCTGGTGGCCTCTCTCTGCTCCTGCAGGTGTGGATAGCACTGTTGTGGTTATACAGGTGTGCTCTTTCCCCTTCTACAGACTGTGAAAGAACATTAGTCCTGCAGAGACTGAAGTGAGAGTTGCTATTGTGGACGATGGTAAGAGGAGGAGGGCAGAAGTCAGTGGGGAGATGGAGGAGACTCAGGAGGTAGAAGGAGGTCTAGAGGAGCTATAGGGGATGAGGCTGTGCAGTGCAGGTGATCCTAGGATAGGTATTAGATGGGCTGTATTAAGCACATTATTCAAGTCTAGAGTCAAGCAGAGTTACGTTGCTCCCCGTCGTCTACACTACCGACGCGCAGGATCGTGTGTTGGTGGTTTTTAATTTTTTTCGCAGTTTGCACATGCGCATAGGCGCTCATCCATAGAATGGGGGGGGTGAAACTACCATGGCACATGCGTAGAACCACCAGGGCGAATCAATCCAACCCCTCCAACAAAAGACTTCCCTTTAAACGTTTGACCCAAAACTGGCCTCCGTGAGATCCTGAACTCATCTAAACTCTAAAACAAGTGACCGTTTAAATGTCGGTTTTCTAAACACAGTAGCGGAGCTCTGCCTATGCGCGCACTGCTGATGCTAAAAAAAGGGGTGAAAAGCGGAAGCCTCGGGCAGCTTTCGAGCGGGGAGGGGGTTTAAACCAGAAATGGCTTGACACAGGAGGAGCAATCACACAGGGGGAAAATACGGCTTTAAACGGGAGAGCTGAGAAAACACCCCTTTGGGACCTGGTAACAAAATACTTCGGGCTAAAGCGGTTTTGAGCCCGAAACCAACAGCTGGGGATGGGAGGCAGATGTTGACTGTTTGTTCGTGCATATAAAATCCATTGCTGAACTGTCATGACACCAGATCAAATGACGCATCTGAACGTACCCATAGTATCTTTAAAGAGTCAGGTCCAAGTTTCCTTTACCTAAACAGCAGCTGTGGGGAATGGCTACTTTAAAAAGTAGCATCCAAATGGGCTTGCTTCTGCCTTTCCTCCCAAGCCATTTTCCCAGGTGGAAACAGCTCTGGGGAAATTTTCCCCATTTTTGTTGCTCCACGTGGAGTATTCTGTGCACATGGAGCAGCAAAAAAAGGGAACTAACTCTCAGCACTGTTTCTGCACAGGGAAACAGCTTGGGGCGGGGGAAGCAGGACCCCTCCCCCGCAGTGGTGTTCTGGGCTCTTCTGTGTGCATGTTTTTAGAAGCCATTTCCTGCAATGGCTGTGAAGCTGCTGGGAACTTGAGTTGGGCCTAGGGAAGGCGGACCCAATTCTTTAAAAACACTAGCATGTAGTTTGGTCCTGAGAACAGGAACCTGATGCAAAGGTAGATAACAGAGAAGAAAACCTGAGAAGAAGGGCAGAGGAGATAGAGCACTGTGGCCATTTCACATTTGAATCAGGCAGCCAAACATTTGGT